GAAGGAAGACTCTTTCCTTTCTAATACTGTATTCTTTTTCTAACAAAAGATATCTTAATAAAACAGAATATGCCCAGATAACGTAACATTGGCAAATAAGATCTTTACAGAGCAGTTGTATGGGTTGGGAGAGAGAAAAGCCTCAACAGACCAGGAGTGGCAGAACAAAGTGTGGATGACAGTGTTCTGCCTTCTACTATTCTGGCTGTTTTTCCTCCTTCTACTTTTCTGTACATAGGTCTCAATAACAGGGAAATCCATGGACCAGCTCAAGAGATGGCATACTCCTCTCCCATTCTAGAAGTTGTGCTAGCATAAGAGTTTCTCCTAATCCAATCCTGACATACTCCTGGAATATCTCATTCTTGTGGTTGTTATGGGTTTTTCGGGTTCTTTGGCCGTGCTCTGAAGGTTGTTCTTCCTAACGTTTCACCAGTCTCTGTGGCCGCCAGTAGCTACTCTTGTCCTCTGAAGATGCCGCCCACAGAGACTGGTGAAACGTTAGGAAGAACAACGTTAGGAAGAGCAACCTTCAGAACACGGCAAAGAACCCGAAAAACCCACAACAACCATTAGATCCCGGCCATGAAAGCCTTCACAAATACATTATCTCATTCTTGCTTTTATTGGAGCATGAACAACAGGGGACTTCTATGTTGTTGCTGTGGGACAGGTTTCCCATATGTCCTTTGGGGAAACAGCTTTCTCCATGCCGTGATTCCTAGGATACATGCTCAAAGGACCCTCGGACTGCTCCATTAAACCTCAAACATAAAACCATATATTCCTTTGTAGTTGAATGGCAGGAACACATTTGTTGTCACCTTAGTATAGAATATACAATATGTTGCTCCAAATTTCCACTTATACCATTAAGTTCTCCCTTTTAAAACCTGTCTTGAACTTATACTCATGAATTATCTGCATTCCCATGGGCATTTGTGCAGCCCTTAACAGAATGTATCATATATGAACTGGATGCTTCTTTCTTTCCTAGAAATCACTTCCAATCAATACAATATTTAATTCTCCTTTTGATTTGCTATTACTGTATGTGTTTTTGAAGACCTAATGCTGGGCTTGGTTCAAATGAATCTAAAGACCAGGAAAAAGCAGCTGGCTTGACATCTGCAAAATGCTTTTATGGACTTCTCCAAAATTACACATGTATATTCACTGTTCTGACTTATAATTCATGCTTCATAGTCATTTGCACTCATATATGGAATACGGGATTCATTTATATGCATACAGTATACGAGGGCATAGGATCATAACTGGATCGGTTGTGCAGTAAAATGCTCATGACTGTTTTGTCAAGATTGCACAGGTGATCTACCTGCCCCAGGTAGAAACATCTCACTGTGCTGGCGGCTTATTGCATTAGATGAATGAGCCATTACATGCCATCAAGCTACTTCTTATTATGGCAGCCCTATTAATTAATAACCTCCAGAGGGTCTTGTCATCAAACAGTCCTCCTTAGGACTTGCAGACTGTCTTTGGCTTCTTTTCTTATGCCAGTCCTTCTCATGTTGTCCTCTTCTTTCCCCAATGCCTAATTTCCCAGCATTATTGTCTCTTCCAGTAAGTCTTGTCTTCTCTTCACATGTCCAAAATGCAATAGCTCCACTACAGCCATTTTAGTATTTAGTGGGAATTTAGGCTTGATTTGCTATAGAACTCCTTTTATTTGTTTTTCTGGCAGTTCGTGGAATCTATTAAGTTTTCCACCAACACCACATTTTGGCTGGGTTAATTTTGTTTCTGTCAGCCTTCATCGTTGACCAGTTCTGATATCTGGACATATTACTAAAGAATATCAGGGTATTCATGATACTGGCTTTGATTGCCAAGCAACACCTTTGTATACCTGAGAATCTTTTCTAGTTTTGTCAGAATTGCCCTTTTCAGTATCAGCATTTTCTAATTTTTTTGGCTGCAGTCCCTATTTGGACTGATGGTTGTATCAACATATAGGAAATTCTTACTAATTGCAATTTTTTTCTTCATCCAATTTAATATATAATTCTTCTGTATCATTTTCTTCGTAATATTCAGTTAACCTTGATTTAACACTTTAATTTTTTTTTTACAATTGTTCTTTCAAGCTACTTCTTTCTACTGCAAGTCATATGTAGCCTCAATATATTTCAAATTATTTATATTTCTTCCACTAATTTTCACTCCTCCTTCATTGGAATATAATCAACCTTCCCATATGATATGTTATGTATAGATATATAATGCACTCTTGTCTGTCAACTTTGCCAATGAGAACCCATTCTGTTTCTCCGCACTCTGTCCTAATAGTTGTTTCTTGTACACAGCACAGGTTAAACATCAGGTAAATCAAATATTGAGTCACACCTGTTTCTTTTAGAATAATCAATTGTTTCTTACAACCCAGACAGTCAACAGATTTGATGTAGTATAATAAAGACAAACTTATTTTCTTCTGCATTTTTTTTTGTTTACTAGTAGTTAGTATAAATTTGCAATATGATTTATGGAACTTGTTCCTTTTGTAACCACCTGCTTAAAGACATGGCTTTTTTATTCCTTATATTGTAAAGGTCTCTGTTGAAAAATCCTTAGCATGACACTTTTGCATGGCAATTTTATAGGATGGTTCTATAGTTTCGATTGTCTGTAAGAATCTGTTTTCAGGTCAAGAAGATGTGTGTGTTTGTGTGCATGTAGTAATGTGTTGCAAACTGAACTCCAGGTTGCTTGAAAATTATAGTACTTTCAATGCAGATTTCACCAACCCTATGCAAAAGCAAAAGGGTAGCTGGAGAATTTAAGTAAGTGGCTGGTTGTAGACCATAAGCCTCCATTGGTTGAAATCTTGTTGTATAACTTACCCTTATGGAAAGTTTGTGAAGTCTTCAGTAGCTGGCAATTCTGAGTAGCTGAAAGCTTCCTACTTCTGTCCCATAGCTTTTCCAACTCATGTGTAATGCCTTTCATCACATGGAAGCTGTGGAAGCCACATAGAGAGATGTTCCATAATTAAATACTTGTTCCTCCCATTCCACAGCTCACATGGCTTACACACAAAGAAAAGGATTGTGCAGGAGTTGGAAAAGCCTCAGGGTCAGAAACAGGAAATGTTTAATTATTAAAAATCACCTCCACCAGTGACACCATTCATCACCCTTCCACAGATATCATTCCCAACAAGATTTCAGTCATTAAGACATAGGTCTAATGAAAGTGCAGTGAAAGTTTAAGGAGAGATACATTATGTAAGTAGTGTGCTAGAAGGTCTGGAAAGGAGTCTCTACTACACTTCTCCATCTTTGCTTTATTTTATTATTAGCTTTGTGGGTTTGTTACCATTCAGAAATATTGTAGCCAATGCAATTATTTATTTTATATGTTGAACGTATGGTGCCATGGTAAGGTACTGAAGAAACAAGCAAAGGGATAAGCTATGGAGGTGGCAAGAAATGTGCTTGAGAAAAATGAGTCCTTGGGGAAACATAAGGGCAAAATATTGCTGGACCTGTAGAACCCATGCCCAGTGACCCACCAAATGCTCATTTGATGCATGCAGCTGTTGCTGTAACTTCATACTTCAGCTGTTTCAGTGTTGCTTCTTTATTTTAAGTGGCACTCAGTATGCACAAATGGTAACAAAGTAAAATGGGCAAATTACTGTTCCTCACCAAGCATGACATGTGCCATTGGTGATGGGACACGTGTCTTAGAAAGTTGACTGATAAAGTGTTGTGGCTACTTAATGACCTATTACTGAAATGTCCTGCATTTATTTTACTTATATATATAATAGACTATACTTGGTTATGTTATTTAGTGAAATGCATAACAAATCTAATTACTGGTGCTGATTTACAAAGTTTTAAGGTTGGTGAATGTTTAAAATCGATTGATCGATCGATCAATCGATTGGTCGGTCGGTCAGTCGGTTGGTTGGTTGATCATGCTGCCGTTCTCCTAGCAAAAGGATTCACCAAGACAACTGAAATACACAGCAAAAAAATAAGTGCTTATAATGGAATGCCATATTTAACTTTCTGTGATTTTGTCATTAAGCTCAGAGCAAAGAGAATAAGTGCCTTGTGATTTGGAAAAGACCTATGCTATGGTTGAAAACTTCATATGTGTGTATCAGCTATATTGTGCCAAAGCCCTGCTGTACAACAAACATATAAATAGTGGAGACATCCCATTTTTGTATAAAGAGCTTTTTCTTTTTCTTTCTTTCTTTCTTTCTTTCTTTCTTTCTTTCTTTCTTTCTTTCTTTCTCTCTCTCTCTCTCTCTCTCTCTCTCTCTCTCTCTCTCTCTCTCTCTCTTCTTTCCTTTCTTTCTTTTCCTTTGGGGGGTCTAGAAGACATCTATCTAATCAAAGTGACAGGAAAATACATTACCCAAACACACTGAAATCAAGAATATGCATAATTTTGCATTGTTTAGCCAGAGTGTGCAAATAGAATAGTTCCTGCAATGTCTACTCCTCAGAACAAATGGTAAGTGTTCAAGGAGCTTTCCATACTGTACTGAACACACTGCACTTTTCATATGATTCAGATATCTGGCTGGGGACCCAGAGGTTGGGAGTTTGTTTCCCCACTATGCCTCCTGGGAGAAAAGCCAGCCTTTGTAGTCATGGGTGTGATGCACTGTCCCAAGTTACCCCCAGGAGAAGGGAATGATGAACCACTTCTGAGTTTTCTGTACCTAGAAAACCCTGGAAAGGGTTGCCAGTACTTGGAATTGACTTGACAGCACACAATCATTATTATCATTACTATATGTGTTCATTACATTTTTGGTTTTTCAAGTCCTGAAACAACGTTGGTAGATTTTCTTTCAATGTAAAACATCAGTTTTGTCTTCCTGTTACATATCAGTTTGTCCATTTTGTTCCTAAAGTGGCACTTATGAAAGACTGTTTTTGGTGCATAATAAAATCTAAGGTCACATCAATATTACTTATTTGGTTTCCCCCCCATACTTCCTGTAAATGTAGAACCAACCCCACAGCACACCCAATAGGAGAGGAAAGAAACCCACAAGAACAAGGAGAGAACAACCACTTCCACAGCCTAGTAGTGCGCACAATTACAGTAAAGTAAGTGTGATGATACAATACTGGGAAAAATCATGGAAACACTTTCTGAAATATTTACATGCCTTGATGACCAGTGCTGTAAATGCTACCATACTATCAAAGGTAAGGCTTTGCCCGTCCTGAGTAGAAATCATCTAGAAGGGCAGGATAAAAGTTTAATCAATCAATCAATCAATCAATCAATCAATCAATCAATCAATCAATCAATCAATCAATCAATCAATCAATCAATCAATCAATCAATCAATTAAATGTATATGGAGATCGGGGAAGGAAAATATTAATATACTATAAATTGCCCTATTACATATACCATTCTAAACTGTTTTAGTATTTTTTAACATATTAATCTTTTGTTGTGTTGGATTACAGTGCCTATTAACTGCAGCCAGCATGACAATGATAAAAAAAAATGCTGGGATTTACACCTAGCATATCCGGAGATGATCAAATGAGATGAATTTTTCAGAATACAGAGTCAGGTTGATTGAAATGCAACAGAAAGCATCTCATATACATAGTTTACCCAATTTCTGACCTCCCAACAGTTTTCTGGTTAGAGGGGAAACAATCTGAATAAACATTGCATCTGGAAGTTCTCAGAACCATATCTGTTACAAGACAAGACAGTAAAGAAAGAGGAGGGATGGGAGGATGGCAAAGTAACTTGTTTCAACCCATCGCACCCATGATTTTTCAGAATGTAAGCCATATTTGGGTCCAGGAGAGGAAGCAATTCCCCTTCTCCAAATTCTTTATAATAAGTAAGAGCTGAATAAGAAGAGCATGACACAAGCTTCTATTCAATTCAGCAAGGTTTATGCCAAAGAATTTCCTATTGGCAAGAGCAGGTCATAAGCTGGCTCCTCACCCCAGAATTTCAAGGGGCATCCCATTATCCCTCATGCTGCCATGCTTTCTCGAGTAGCTGCAATATCCACCTGGGACACCAAGCATATTTAAGGGAGTATTAGCTTCTGAAACAGAAGAATAGTACTCATAATAAAAAGGCATTTCATGATTTTTTTCAAAAAAAAAATCAGCTGAACAGTATCTCACCTTTTCCTTTATGAAAAAAACCATACATTGTATCAGATAATTTAGGAGTGTTTCCATATTTTTTTTCAGCTGTGTTTGTGTATTTATTTCTGAACTATGTGCACAGCGTTAATGTCTTTTGCTTTGGGGTTTGTTTGGTTTCTTTCCCATTTGTTTGTTTGTTTGTTTGGTAATACATGTTTAATGAGTTTTGTGCTGAAAGGCCATAAAGAAGGATCCCATTTTAAAATGCTGTTGTGATTGCCTACAGAAAGGGAAGCATTTCTTTGAAACTAGTTAGTGGTAAATGTGTAATTAGAGATGAACAACTTAATCACCTAATCAGTGAACCTAATTGATTAATTATAGATGAAAATGATGAAGTGACATTTGAGATGTGTCCTCTGCAAGAACACCAAGTGCTATGAAAATCACTCAAAATGCATTTTATTTAATTTTCAGACACTCTCAATGTAGTTATTATTCATAAATAAGAAACTTCATCAGTTCCAAGTTAGTACACTGTGATAGATGAATTCATTCATTTCTTAAGAACAATCATACCAACAGATTCTAAAACTCTATAATTATGTAGGGCCTGGCATTTATAAAAGCATATACTAGTTCACCAAGACTTGTACCAACAATTTCCGTATTTCTTCTTCAGAACACAAGTTTTTTCATACATCTTCAGAATGTAGTATTTCTTCACCCTGCAAAAGAAACTACAAGTTGGTTGTTGTGCGTTTTTTCGGGCTCTTTGGCCGTGTTCTGAAGGTTGTTCTTCCTAACGTTTGGTCTGAAGGCAGCTACAGCCCTCAGCCTGTCCTATGAAGATGCCGGCCACAGAGACTGGCAAAACGTTAGGAAGAACAACCGTCAGAACATGGCCAAAGAGCCCAAAAAACTCACAACAACCATTAGATCCCCGCCGTGAAAGCCTTCGCAAATACAAAGTACGAGTTATTGTATTTCTCATTTTTGGAGCAGAAGAATATTTCTTACTTTTATTTATAAGCTGCCATCCCATCTTCTATTTAGCTCAAAACAGTGTACAGTGGTGCCTCGCTTAACGAGCGCACCGTAGAACGACGAATCTGCATAGCAAGGGGGTTTTTTCGATCGCAACTGCGATCGCAAAGCAATGGCCCCAATGGGCGAAACTCGCATAGCTTTGCTTTGCGATCCGCAGATCAGCTGTTCAGCGGCTCCAAAATGGCCGCCGGAAGCCCCGAAATGGCTGCGCGCAGCGTTTTCGCGCCCTCGGTAAGCGAGGGGAGTGCGCGAAAATGGCTGTCGGCCATAGGAAAACATCGCTGAACGGTGAGTTTTTGGCCCAATGGGTTTTCTTGATCCGTTCAGCGATGTTTTCACATAGCGAGGGTTAATCCGGAACGGATTAACCTCGCTATGCAAGGCACCACTGTACATGATTCTTTTTCTCCCCTCTTCATCTAACAAGTTTCAGATTTCAATAAGGATTTGAACCCTCTCCTCAATCAAATATACTTACCGACACACAACATTGGTTCTGCCATTGACATACATAGGAATGCACATCTCGTTATACATATATGTTCCTATCTTTAAACATAATTCTTTATCATGCAGAGTTGCATAGACATCTACTCTGAAATCAACAAAAGTTCTACAACATTTTCTAGACATATACTGAGAGAGAGAGAGAGAGAGAGAAATCCAGAGAAATTATTGAAAAGCAGACATACTTAGTAATTAATGAAATCCTTCTGAACATTCAAGGTGCACCTATTCATGACAATAATCTCTTTAGGCAGTCAAATTATTAAAGTGTTATCAAGATCCTACAGCATTAAGGTAAGGTATTAAAGCCAACCTACTGGGAGGCCAGTGCCCTAGCTGGGTGGTAGAACTTGTCCAACAGTTGCAGTGTTAAGAAATTTATTCCCTTTACTCAGACCACAAATTTCTAGGACAATATATATATATTTATTAATCTGATTCTAATTTCTCAATATCACTCTAAATTTGGAAGGTTTCATGTTAATGTAAGAATTTCAACCTGATAACGGTGAGGCTAATTGCAGAGCAAAAGGTAAGTCTTAGTTAATGAGTTTTTAAAAAATGAAGAAATGATAGCTTTATATTTACAAAGTGAATGTACAGAAGTAATCTACTAGTAATTAACGAGTGTGCAGGAAGCTGATGGGTTAGGGTATGATAGTCCTTTGCTAAATACAACCTCATTTTTATTTTGATTGCTTATAATCTTGAGTTGACAGAATGTAGAATGTTGTCTCTCTCACATACCAAAATATGGGAGGACTTTTTAAAGTTTTAAAAATTAAAAAAAATGTACAACCAGAACTAATCAACCTTCTAAAGAAGGCGGGGTATTTTGTGGTCAGAGTCCATCTCCAGTTGCCCTGGACCAATTTGTACAATGGCCATTTTGTAGTAAATTTAATTTGCATTGTGCCTGGGCAGACCTTTGACCTGAACGGAAGAGGTGCTGGCCTTGCAACATGCCAAGAATCAATCTTGAATACATGAGTAGGTGTCCACATCACTGAGGGCCAAGTTTGCCTTACCCATATGAAATAGCTTTCATTTAAGGCTGCACAAAGTTCTAATAATGGTTGTGCATTCACTGAATTCACTTGAGACAATTTCCTACTATTTGCAGTTAAATTTATTTACTGCTTTATAGAATTTGTTGCTTCAGTGTGGAACATCACACATCATTTTCAAGGCTCTTGGGCAGTGATGCAACATGTTGCAGTGTGGCAGATGAGTGAAAACTAAATATAGTTGGATGACATGAATGGCAGGGTGCCACTTATGAAAGATACTTCTGCCCAGTTTGGAATATCCTGTGTTGCCTGCAACCTTTGAATGCATTGAAAACCATTTGATCCGTATCTGCTCTTTTCCGTCCATAGAAACTAATGGGAAGCTGCTATTCCGCCTTCAACCACTAGAGGGGGATATTTTGTTTCTTTTTTTCTTAGGTCAAGAAAGGTTCAGGGAAGGCAGGGAAAATACAGTCCAGGCAGTTCAGTACCAGGCAGTCTGAAGACTGTCTCCCAATCCACTCTCTAAACGCTGGGAGGAGTGAGGAAGCAGACAGGCACCCTTTTCACTGGCCAACAGTTAACTGAAAGTTCCAATTTTGCACTTTCCCTAACTCCCACGTGGTTTTTTTTCAGTTCTTAACTCAAATCTAAGTACTTAAGTCAAGTCAATATTTTCCTATGGGAGCGGTTCTTAAGTCAAAATGTTCTTAACTCAAGCCGTTCTTAAGTCAAGACCCCACTGTAGTTGGATGGCATGAATGGCAGGGTGCCACTTATGAAACATACTTCTGCCCAGTTTGGAATATCCTGCGTTGCCTGCAACCTTTCATTATTATAGAATAGAAGAAGCAAAGGCCACTTCCATCATTCCAACTGGATGCACCTAAAAGTGGATTCAATCCAACAAACAATGTGCTGATTATAATCTCCAGTGGTTTCATGCGACTGGCATAGAGCTTATTTGATTTGGAGGATCTTGTTTTGCACTCATGCACAAATGTAAAGTTAAATACTGTACTTTGTTTCCGTTTGTTCATGATATTCCACCGCCTGTTGCAAGGCATTCCAGTTGCTGTTTGACAGTTTACAGTAATTTTATTAGGTTATGTGTTGCTTGCATTAGTTGCTCCAGTTGTACTGCTAGATGTTGTGCAACCACTAGCTGAAGGCAAGCTCTTATTCCACCTACATAATGTAACACTGAGTACAAGAATGAATGAAATAAAATAATTCTCATAGTTGATATGTCATTTCAGTACCTTTCTTGATGTCTGCTACAGTCAGTCTCCTCCAAGATCTCACCTGTAGACATGTATTTACAGCATGTATGTGTTAGGTATACTTGGTACCTCTTAAAATCTACAGTCATGAATTTTTACTTGGTTTATTGCCAGTCATCATGGCCAAACCAGGATGCACTAACAATCATATTAAAAAGCCAGAAGCGAGTTACTTTCAGTTCAGTGGGCTTGCCCTTTGGTATATATGTAGATGTAAAATTGCAGCTTTAATCTTCATTAAGTAAACAAACTGCTCATCAGTTTGTAAAGAACATAAGACCTCTGAAAAAGTTTCCCTGTTCTCTTCAAGGGCCAGGCTTGTATTTCATAAGTGGTTAAATTCTTGTGCCTTTCTTAATAGGTGGCATGTATGCAGTGGTTACATGGAGACCATACAATGCTGGAAATGATTGAGAAAAAACGTTGTCTGTGCAAGGAAATCAAGGCACGGCAGAAATCAGAGAAAGGACTGTGCAAACAGGACAGCATGCCTATCCTACCAAGTTGGAAGAAGAACACAGGGACCAAGAAGTACAGTCCTCCTCCATATTCCAAGCAACAAACTGTTTTCTGGGATACGGCAATATGACATTATGATATGAACATGGTCTGTGTGTTTGTGTGTGTGTGTGTGCGCACATCTGTGTGTATGTGCATATATGTGTGTGTGTGTATCTTTCACGCATCGCTGAAAAGTGCGCCTAGCTTCAGGTGAAGAACTACCTATGATTAAAGCTTGCAAAAGTGGCGTCCACCTATCAGTCAAAAGAAAAATCGATGTCTCCTACCAGATGAAGGCATGCACATATTTTTCAAGGATTCTTTTGGCTCCCGATAAGTAGTAAGATGTAAATATTTTGCCAAATTCTTTTTTTAAAAACTGAGTTAATATGCTCTTTAAAATACAATGCAAACATGTACGAAGAATTTTACTCATGTATTGTTTTGACTGTTTTAGATGTGTTACCTTTACCTTTTTAAAAAAAGTTATCTCACCTGCCTAAATTTTTAGTATTTTTACAAAGGCATGTGGTTGTACATTTTTGGTTTAACAGTATGTTGTCTGAATCAAACTGGTGCTAGGGCTGTAGAACTGAAATAAACACTCATAGGATTTGTTAGAAACGTCCTGCAAACTGTTTTCGGCAGGGGGTGGACAGAGCTGTGGACAATGGAGGGGGGGAAACAGTATTCACTTGGGTGTCCAATTTACATTAGCACAGCATAATTCTACATGTATTTAAAAGTATACTTGCTACTATATAACTGCATTAATAGTCCATTAAAATCGGTGCAGTCTACCAAACACAGGTATGGTGCAACCTTCTGTATCAGCCTCATTCAAAAAAAGCTAGAGATTGCCTAGTACTGTTTTAACGGATTTTACTCTGGGGCCCTGGTCCAAAGGCCCCTAATCATAGTATGTATGCAATAGTATTTTGTGCCAAACAGCACTCAACATCCCATAACTGGGTTTGTGGCAGAAAGAAAATACTTGGCAGAACTAACTTCCATTAAGTGGTGCAGTTAAGCTGCATCTAAGGACTCAAACCAAATGTTAGCCCTAACAGGACTAGACCACTGAATCAATGAGAATGTGGCAGGTCAACACCTAGTTAAGATCCATTAATTCAGTTCATCAGCTCTGTTTGGCACCAACAATGAGCTTTTGGTCAAGGGGTAGAGGAATATCGCATGGTGACATGTATTTCTAGAGATGAATGCATTTAAAGTCAACCAGCAAAACTCTGCATATTTCAAAGCAATGCAAAGGGATCCTACACATAGATAAAGGCTTCTCCATAGGACTACCCTTCTGACTTTGGGTGAATGTTTTGACTAAGGCTGAGAACACAAGGTAGACTAAACAAGTAAATTAAATTTGCTGTGGAAAGTTTTATCTTCAATTGAGAATTCTTCTTTCTTCTGTTTAGATGATTTGTGGAGACCAGGGTTCACTGTGACTAAGGACTGTACACATCACATGTTTCCTTTGTTCTCTATTCATTTAGCAGGTGGTAGAGGTGGTAGAGCAGCCATAATTCCCATCCTCATTTGTCTTCAGTCCCTGAAAGTAAAGGTAACCACAATCTGTTCACAATATTCACATAACTTTTATTATATATTGTATTCTGTGTCCAGTAGAATGAATTAGTGTTAAGTCTCACTAAAGTCAATAGGAAAGGTTGACTTCATCTTGGAACGTCTGACCCTTTGGATTGGGTCTGTAGAGCACATTTCTCTCAAGGAACCATTTTCGTATTCCTGGTTGATCCTGTAATTGGGACATAGTCCTCTGTGACATCACACCCATCCTATAGATTATAATGTCATGACCAAAGAATTATGACCTCTTGGTTTTAACAGGAGAAAGAGATGGTTTATATGCTGTACATGAGGGTGAGATCTGTGCATTAAAGTATCTTCCAGAAGGCACTGTGTAGGATAAGATTTTTAAAAATCCATATTGCCGTAGAGTTGATGTGATCACATATATTTTATATATTTAAATTTTTATCTATGCTTCTGAAAGTTTGGCAGCATGAAAAGGTTCCTCCTTTAACAATCATTTGAAGAATATTATATTCTCTGAGAAGAAGATTAAAATGTGTCATTTAAATTTATTGTCATATTGGCTTTTTTTTCTTTTAAAATGATATTGACAGCAATGCCACATGTGTAGTAGCTGATCAGTAAGACCAAAAATAAAACAAAATTTTAGTAGGTTATTTTGTAATCTATATTGCTAAAATCGATTATTACTTTATCAATAGTAGTTTCTTTCCAGACTGAAATGAAAAAAAAAATAAAGTTTTTAAATATTTTATAACTGATGTATATTTTGATGTCCAAACTGATGATTTCTGTATCAGATTTTAAAAAAGGTGGGGCTTTATAAGTGTGTATAGTAGTTATTTAAGCAGCATTATTTATGTTTTATCAATAGTGTGAAGACACAGACTCTTGTCTATGTTCATATTGCCACAAATGGACATATGCAACAGCTGAAATGGGTATGTGGTTTAGTTGTGTAAGAAAAGAAATTACACACTCATTGGGAGGAATTCTTTGATTCTGAAAAGGAAATGTCATATGCAAAAGAAAACACCATTATATCATTTTAATAAAGAAAATGTTAAAATAGATATTTGGAAAATTTGTATTCTATTTTATTTTATTTTATTTTTTTATTTTTTTTGCAAATTTGGTAGTTCTCCTGAACATTTAGTTGTGTGGAGTTTCCTAAAATAAGCCAGAGTTACCAAGATGTTTATCATTCTAAGACTCATTCTCTCGCTGTTTTATACGGTGAAGCTAATATCGAAGCCAGCGGTTGTGGGCTTCTGAGAAATGGAGTAAAAAAACCAACTTTACCCTCCCAATTCTGGTTCCAGATTTGTAAAATCACAGTCAGTAACCCCTCCCCGCCTTTATTTTTAATATCCCCTACTTGCATATTGTATGCATGTTATGTCTCACTGAGTCACGTGTGACTTGAGGGCAGATAATAGGGATTTCAAGGTATTTGAGGAGGGGTTATACCAATACCATCTCCAATGAGTTTGGTTGGCCAAGCAGGGAGTTGAACCCAGGTCTCCTGAGGTCTAGTCTGTAACTCTGTCTACAACACACTGAGTCATCTGGATATTCAATTGCAGCTTTCAAGTCCATTCAGTAAACAAACTGCTCATCACATTGTAAACCCTATAAGACCTCTGAAAATGTTTCCTGGTGCTCTCAAAATGTATTGAACTCATTGTAATTAGAAAGCCACTTCAGGCCTTCCCAGAAAACACACAGAGGTTAGCAGTGTTGCTTACAGTTTTCCCCTCCATGCTTGCCGTTCTCAATGCCTGAATAGGACTCCTGTGTGGTTAGAATCATTTTTAAAAAGTTTCAAGCCTTGAGACTTCTCCAGCTATTTTTGAAGATAGCATTATTATTATTATTATTGAGAAGTTCAGAGACTACATTTGACTCATTTGGCTTCTTGGATATTCCTACTGAACTCTTCAAAAAGCCTTGGAGGTTTTTTTGGAATGTTTGACAGGAAGACTTCCAAAACAAAAATAAAACACAGAAGTAGACCGTCTCCCATTTAATAGGCAGAGAAAAGTATGAACTGCTGGATAACTCAGTGGTTTAGGTATATGGCTGTGGAGACAAGAGGTTAGATAATTGATATCCCACTGTGCCTCTTTGGCAGGGGCTGGACGTGATGATGCATAGGTTTACTTCCAGCTGTACAGTCCTAAGATAATAAGATTATAGCTCCACTACAACCAAATGCTATTTAAACATTTTCTGTATTGTCTGCTATATGAATAGGTGTTCAAATTATCACAAATTAGAAATGTGGACTCATTCAGGATGCAATCCTATGTACTCTTCCGTGAGAATAAGGTCCATTGACTTCAGGGGCACTTCCTGCTGAGTAAACATGCATTAAATTGCATGGTCAAAGCTGTATGAAAATATGCAATCTCTATAATGTCTGAGTCACACATATATACCCCCATACTTATACTGACTGTACATATGAAAATGTTTGGTATGCACTTAACTTTCCTTTAAATTTCTCAAGTTAAACATTCTAGTGTAGCAATTTGTGTCAAGTGCACTGTGATTTTAAGAAAGCACAGTAAGGTCACAGGTCTTGTTAATTCTTGCACTAAAAATGTGTTTACCTATATTAGCAAATGTATGTTTACTTTATTGCTCCCCCCACTCCCTTAATTTATAGCTGATGTTATTAAATAGTGTGCTTCTTTTAAGTGGCCAGTGGCCCTACCTTTAAAAGTGACAGGGTTTTTAAAGAAAGAAATGAAATAAAGTCATAACATGTCCATTCCAATGTTTACCAATATTTTAAAACTGAATGTCATTGCTTTTTTCATATTTCATTAGAAATGTCAGGTATGTGCCTGAAATGTGTACGGAGTAGATAGATGGTAACTGTAACCATATATTAGCCATTTCTATATACACAGTATGAATACATATTAATTTATTTTCATTTTTGTACTTGATTTTTTTTAGGTAAAATGTAATTAAATGTACTTTGATACTTCTGAAGTAATACGATGTTGTTTGAAAATTAATTCTGCTTTCTTTAGTGCATTGAAAATATTTTACAATAACTTAGTGCTTATTTATTTGTGCGCCAGTGTAATTATAATAAAAGCAATAGTTTAAATATTCAGCCTTTTATTTCTGATTAATGATGTCAAACTTCAAGCTGGGCTATCTGGAAGCAGCTAAGTAAGAGAATAAATAATGCCTCAGGCCTTCTTACATATATTCAGATGTGATATTTATCTAACACATTGCTGTGGGAAAAGCAGGATATATTTTATATTCACCACCAGCCAACACTGAGTATGTGGTGCATTATTAATCTATTATATTTATAGCCCATCTATCTTTCACCAAACACCTCAAGACATCAGGTGGGATCAAAAATCTCTTCACTTAACACTCTGCTTATAGAATATGAGTCTACATTCTTTATTCGTATCAGTGTTGCACAATTTAAAGTTTACAGGGCAGAATTTCTCAAAAGTATTGGATGGCTGCACATCATTGTCCACTCTTCGGGGAAGATTCCTCTATGCCCCCTATTATTCCACATGATTTGGTATTTAGGTGTGTGTATAAATCCCCATTGCTCTGCACTACAGTCCTTTCATTTAACAGAGCTCTCTATACCTGTGAATCATTTTTAACTCTCCTTTTGGGGAAAGTTGAGTGAACCCCCTTTTGCCATTCCAGTTGCCCATGCTCGACTTGGGGTCCAACCCACTGGTTCCCGGATAATTGCTCAAAGATGCATTAAACCAGACACAGTTTGCCTAGCTTCATGAAGCTTACTACATCAGGTCCTTTCCAAGATACCAATGAGCATAGCCACCTGCCACTGTTTATTCTTTGGATGGATGGACAGACAGACAGACAGACAGACAGACAGACAGACAGACAGACAGACTCTAATGGACGGCAGGAGACAGACAGACAGACAGACAGACAGACAGACAGACAGACAGACAGACAGACAGACAGACAGACAGACAGACAGACAGACAGACAGACAGACAGACAGACAGACAGACAGACAGACAGACAGACAGACAGACAGACAGACAGACAGACAGACAGACAGACAGACAGACAGACAGACAGACAGACAGACAGACAGACAGACAGACAGACAGACAGACAGACAGACAGACAGACAGACAGACAGACAGACAGACAGACAGACAGACAGACAGACAGACAGACAGACAGACAGACAGACAGACAGACAGACAGACAGACAGACAGACAGACAGACAGACAGACAGACAGACAGACAGACAGACAGACAGACAGACAGACAGACAGACAGACAGACAGACAGACAGACAGACAGACAGACAGACAGACAGACAGACAGACAGACAGACAGACAGACAGACAGACAGACAGACAGACAGACAGACAGACAGACAGACAGACAGACAGACAGACAGACAGACAGACAGACAGACAGACAGACAGACAGACAGACAGACAGACAGACAGACAGACAGACAGACAGACAGACAGACAGACAGACAGACAGACAGACAGACAGACAGACAGACAGACAGACAGACAGACAGACAGACAGACAGACAGACAGACAGACAGACAGACAGACAGACAGACAGACAGACAGACAGACAGACAGACAGACAGACAGACAGATAGATAGATAGATAGATAGATAGATAGATAGATAGATAGATAGATAGATAGATAGATAGATAGATAGATAGATAGATAGATAGATAGATAGATAGATAGATAGATAGATAGATAGATAGATTTTTCTCTACTCTACTTCCATGTTAGGACAGCACGGCTGCCCCACTAACCTATGTTTGTTCTGTTAGTTCCTATGACTATCAAAAGGGAATTCATCCCATGACAGAGCAAAAATGTCTTGGATGAAAATCTAATGAAATGTGTATTTTAGAATTGGAAATTCAGCACTTGGTATGGGTTTCTGGCTCTCATTGTACAAAGGATTTTGTTTTGGTTTTTGATCTTGGCCAAATGGTATTTGTTGGGGGAATAGGCAAATACTATAGAACTGTGTATAATCAGAACAGTAAAGAACAGCTCATCTCTGTTTATTTGGGCTGTCTTGGCCAGAAAAGACATCACAATGAGGAACTTCAAGTGTGATTCTTTACTTTCAGACAAGAGTAAGAAAAGGGTGTTATTTTTGCCTATCTCTGTAATTCACCCTTTCCATTTGAAAAGTCAACCATGCACACACTGTGAACACAGAATGAATGGATGATAATTTAACAAAATGCAGACAGCTCTCACATGCTGATAGTTCTTAAAAATCTATGCAACAAAGCAGCTGCCATCAGCCTTTTGAACAGTCTGATTTATTTTTGTTAAAGCATTATTGATGCAAATTTGCTTCATTTGTGCAAAAAGCCAAGAGATTTTTTTTTCTTGTGAATCAGAAGAATAATGTTGTAGTTCCTCATCCTTGTGTGCAAGGATGAGACAAGTGAAGAATTATATCCCAACCATTATTTTCCTATTGCAATGTGGTTTTTCCAAAATGTTTTAAGCTCATTTATTTTTGTTCCATGTTAGATTTGGCTACATTGATTAATTTGAGCTAGGACATTGTTTGGAGTCCAACCGCCTGCAGTGATTAAATGAGTCTGTACTTCATAGAACAGACTTACACCCTAGAGCTGTAAGTGGTGGAATGTGTTTGTGCTATGGATATGAATCAGTCCACATCATTTTTGTTGAGTTTCTCAGTTCCCCACCAGGATCCTCATTTCATCTCATAGGTGTTTCCCTACAGAAAAGCGAATTCAATGAATTTATTTCCTATTCCTAGTTTACACCATGTTGCCCTTAGATGAAAAGAACCACAACCAATGGAGAAGGTTTTATGTGCAGTAGTTTCTGTTTTGGCTCCTTACTGACCTCCCTAGGGAGAACTATATCCTGCCTTCCTTAGTGAGGCTCCAACATTTCAACACCTATTCTGTTCCTCTGGTGCCCTAACTCAGTGGTCCCCAACCTTGGGCCTCCAGATGTTCTTGCACTACAACTCCCGGAAGCCTTCACCACCACCTCTGCTGGCCAGGGTTTCTGGGAGTTGAAGTCCAAGAACATCTGGAGGCCCAA